TTCGTTATAAACTCGGTGGGCCATCTTGCAGTTTGAAAAAACATACTCTTTGACGCGTCTTCCGTCGGGAAAAACTCAGAAATGATCGATCCTACTAAAATTTTCTCTTAAGTAAAGTGGCATACAATTAGCTTTAGAAACGAATTGTCTATTAAAAATATGGGATTCTCATTTAAGTTAGTGTCATTGCCCAGTGAGATGAGAAATTTATGTTAAATCTGTTACCACTACACGATTCCTAGCCAAAATTAATTTATGGTTTCGTAAAAAATCATTTTTTTTGCTAAAGTTAATCAGTTTTGAGAAGAAACCCTCCTAACCCGGCTTCGAATTGGCCACTCCCGACTCACCCATAGATTCCTACTTGAAAGAACTCCTAAACCTATATGTCCGCTCTGTAAAACTACCATCACAATATCCCACATCCTAATAGATTGTCCTTTATACACTTCTAAAAGATCCCTCCATCAGATTCCCAAAGACCTCCAATCCATACTAAGCAACAACTCAACATCAATAAACAAAATTTTTAACTTCTTAACAGACATCCAACTAATTGATAAAATCTGATATCCCATCCCCTCAACTCTTGTTTCCTTTGCTGGTTCCCCATGTTGGCGGTGTGGTGCGGCTGACTTCTGGCGACGCCCATGCGGGGCCTCGGGTGCTGGTCGGTCTTGGGCTGGATTGAGGGGTGCCTCCCCGGACTCTGAGGTCAAGGAATCTCCAGCGAGCTTAGAGGAGGTGTCGATGGTGACTAGACACCGACCCCTCCTCGATAAAGTCCTGCGCGCAATATTAAGACTAAAAGCATCAGTTGCGAGAGATCCGTGGGGTTCCGTTCTTTCTAGGCCTGGGGCTGCCACTGCGCCTGGGTCTGCGGGGGCCTCGCTCTGAGGGGGCCGGGCTGCGCCGTTAACTTGCACAGACTCAAGGCTTAATGACCAACAAGGTTTCAGCCTTTAAATTATAAAAAAAAAAATCATTTTTGAAATAAAGTGGGTGGGCCATCTTGTATTTTTTAAAAATTTACCCCCCTCATGCCTCTTCCGTCGGGCAAAACTCAGAAATGGTCGATCCTATTAAAATTTTCCTTTCAGTTAAAGTGGCGTACAATAAGCTCTAGAAACGAACTGTCAAATAAAAATATAGAATTCGGATTTAAAATAACAAAGTTAGTGTCATTTCCCAGTGAGATGAGAAAGTTATGTTAAATCTATTACCACTACGCGATTCCTAGCCAAAATTAATTTAGGGTTTTGTAAAAAATATATTTTTTTTTGCTAAAGTTAATCAGTTTTGAAATAATGTCGGTGGGCCATTTTGTAGTCACAAAAAACATACCCCCCTCATGGGTCTTCCGTCGGGCATAACTGAGAAACAATCGATCTTATAAAAATTTTCCTTTCAGTAAAAGTGGCGTACAATAAGCTCTAGAAACGAATTGTGCAATAAAAACATGGGATTCTAATGTAAAATAATAAAGTTAGTGTCATTTCCCAGCGAGATGAGTAAGTTATGTTAAATCTGTTACCACCATGCGATTCCTAACCAAAATTATCTTGGGGTTTGTATAAGACCATTTTTGTCTAAAGCGAATCGTTTCTGAATTAAATGGGTAGACTGTATAAGTGGATACACCCTGTATTGATTATATTGATTGATTGTGATAAAATGATTGATTGTGCCAATTTCTCTGAAAATTATCTGCTGTTTTAATTTAGTTAATATGGTACCATCTAAAAGACAAAATAAATATGTTTTCAGTCCGTTTTTCCGAGTCGTCATAAATATCGCGTTCCAATGCTGTAAATAGCAACACGATTGCATAACTAATCTGAGACTAATAAAAATAAAATCACCATAAATTAGATCGCGTTGGTTTGTGGATAAACGGTGTAGTGAAACGAAAATAAGTGGTTGCAGGCAGAACGGTTTTTGCCTCGTTAACTCACCTTGTCTCCTGAAAGGATTTCATAGATTATTAGAAAGAAGCGGGAATCTTTTTTCCTTGTTTTTTTTCTTTTTCTTTTTCTTTCCGACCCCCTGGAAACAGTAGCGAAAGTGGTGAGGAACCAAGGCAACGTAGATAAATGGACCTTTCAGTCCTGTGTCCTACTTTACTCCTTCAGCAATACAATTAGACTGGAATGCCTTGTGTACGACAATTCCAAATCCATTTTGAGAGTGAAACTTTTAACAAATGAATACCATTTAATTTACCTCTCTAATAGACTTTTAAATAGATTGTACAAATATAGAATTATGCTTATCTATTAAGCAACAGTTCGCTAATAAATCAAGTAGAAAATAGTATCAGTTATTTTTTGGCCCACCAAAATCATAGATTATTGCAGTGATTTTGAAAGAACTTATCAAAAATTGGGGACATTTTGATCTCGCAAGTTCTTGTGGTTTGTCGGGCTTAGGGATTTGTTAAGTTATAGAAAATAGTGAATAAAACTTTTAAGCCCAAGTAGGTCAATAATTCACGGAAGATTTTATTAAATTTGATCGAATAAATCAAGGTTTAAAAGGTTCAATTATTTGATAACAACGTAAGCTCTAAAAGGCCAATAATTCACTATAGTTTTTTCTATTTCTATTCACAATTTAATAGTTTTTTCTCAATTTATTAAGGAACACTTATCAGTGTTTCAGGTCATAAGCCCTAAAATGAGTGAGAATTAGTACAAAATTTGTATTTCTTTTCAAAACGTTTTACACCTTAGACTTTGAAAAATTACAATTCAAAATAAATTCTATCAAATTATCATATAATGTTACTAATAATATAATAATAATTCATATAATTGTAAGAAAATGGATGAATAATCCATGATCCTAGCAGTCAGCCGGCAGTAAAAAGAAAAAGTTTTTCCAAGTTTGAAGCTCAAGTAGATGACCTTAGATTTTATCCATTAAATAACAATTTTCACCACATTATAATATCGAATTATCCATATTTTAAAGATTAAACTTGGGCGGATTTTGACAAAGTGTTACAATTTTCTCAGAGAAACATACTAAAACAATTTTATTAAGAGCTCTTCAGGTAAACTTTGAATTTTTTTTTCAGTATATTCATAAAATTTTACACTTTTCCCTAGAGCGTAAGTAGTGCTGACATGGAGTTTATTCAAGTCTCTTGCTGGAACGCAAATCCGTTTTTTTCTAGTACACTATCTCATTTTAAAATCATGCTTGCATGATCGTGTCTTTCTCCTCTCGGATCCATTTTCCTGAACACCCTAACACACCTACCCTTACATTTGCTGACGATACACAAACACTCCTCTTTACAAATGTCAGTCCTGTCGTAGCAATTCCAAGGGACTTAAATGTGCACTTAGGACACTGAGATAGCTTCCCGTTTCCAGATTTGCGTAAATAATTAATTAAATTAAAAAATTAAAACACAATTAATATATTGAAAATATGTATTTTTAGAAGTGAATATAAGCTTATATTATGTATATCATATCGTCATGCCAAAAAAAGCCAAATGCATTTTCCATGTCTAATTCCGGTTTTTGAAATTAATGTTGGCAGTGACATGCTCTACCACTCTCATCGTTTCGTCAGTAGAATTCGACCCCTTCTCGAATTCAGTGTGTTCACTGAAGTTGGTTTGCTGGGATTTAACACGCGAGTAAAATTTCGCTTAATTAAGTTCAATTTTTCAAAGATCTTAGAATGTACTCATAATTATATCATTAATGGGTTCCCATTAGATCGGAAAATTCGTTTCGAACGTCAGACCATTTTTGTAATTTTCGAAAAAATCAGAAGAATTTGAAGTATGTTTAAAAGGAAAAATTATACCATCGTTTCTTGCTAAAAAACATTTTAATCTACTTTGTGTGTTATATGACAATATGTAATACGACCAATGACTAGGTTTGAAATACAATTTTGGCGAAGTGACCGAATGACGTAGGAAAGTAAAGTAAAATATAAATAAGTACTAATTTTTGAGAAAAATAAAAAACTAGACGTTTTTCTCCGATTATTTTCGAAAGACACTAAATGACGATAATGTAAAAAACTTCCACCGATCTACGGTAATCTTTAAAGGTATTTAGAACATCCAGGGGCAATTCGAGATTGTAAAGGAATACAAATATTTAGGACACATATTTACCCCGAGACTCTTTTGGACAAAGCATCTCTTTTGGAAAGCGTCAATGGCTAAATTAGGTCTAAATATGGTCAGACTTCAGACTTCAAGAAACCATCTCTATTAAAATGAATTTTAATATTTTTAATACGATACGTCGTGCAATTCTGTGTTAAGGCTTTCAAATGTGGGGATATCAGAGATAGAAAAAGTGTTTTTTTTTTATAACAAAGTTATTCACGTTGCCATCAGCTACACCAAATTATATATTGTATTTCGAGGCCAACATGGATTTATTTATGGTGTACACACTTGTGTTTCACTATTCCTATACTGTAAATGTTCTGACGTCTCCCGATACTAGATACTCAAAAATAACTTTGGCAGTAATAGAATAATATTTTATGGTTTGCACCCTGGAAATATTTGTTTGAAAAGTACAACATGCCCTTCCTCCTGTCTTTGGACAACCTCTGTAACTTCTCAATCCAATTCCTTGATCTGTGCAGCAGATGCTCCTAGACGACCCTTACCAACCCTTGGTTGCAAGAGGGGTTTCCAGGCACAAAATAATGGTGTAGCCTTGAGAGCGTGACAAACTCTCTAATGACGAGCTGCACGAATTTCTTGGCGCGCATGATCGCCTTAAGCATCCTCTTCATACATTTGGACTATAGGACCAAGGACGCGTACAGCGTGCGCGGACGACAAGACTAACGCCTACCTTGTCCCTCGAGATGCGTTAAGGGAGTTGTTGGCTTGCGAGCTGACCTCGGACGGCGGGTGCTGCATCAGAGGTACACGGTGGTTAGGGTATCAGATACTGTCTATTATATTTATATATACGGACGGGGGAGGGTGCATAACCATCTGAACTGCGATGCAGCGTATTTTCGTTCCAAGTTCAAGCCCTGCTGCATGGGTAAGGACTAGGCACTGGCCTGGTGGTAAGTCCTCTAGCGGGTACACCTAGGGAAGAGGTTATGTTTCATTCGTGTCCATTGTACTTGCGTATGACCTCTGAATTATCTCCCAACCTCGTGCGAATCGAAAGGATCGGACTGCCGAAGCATACGGCCATACAGGAGCCAAGACTACGCTGACGGAGTCCATCGAATACGTGAGGAATGGTGGACGGGGGCGAATGGTTTTCGGCTGTGATTTCTGGGCTGCCTTTGCTTAAGGCATGGTCTCCTCCCGGGGGGGGGGTAGAAATATTAACCCCTACACAGGGAGATAGAGTTGTCTTCTCTATCTAGGGAGTGCGAGGGAGACTTATCGATGCATTTCGACCACTTGGATATCCCTGACGGGCGGCTCACAATTGAGTCCACGATGTTTTAACCCAACCACTCGGAAGAGACAAGCGGGAGAAGTCACCATGTCTACATGATTAGTCTGTGGATTTGCGGGCTTCTACACTGACCTTCACGGAATAAGCAGATTTTCCATGCGCAGAGGTGATTCGGTCCTAACTTGAGAATCTAATTGTGAGAATTGTGATAAGGCCTGACGGTTAGGTGGACACACTAAAGAACCTCAATGTTAAATGACATTGCGACCCGAGTGGAAACCACTGTAAATGGCATAATTAATCAAATTAAAAAACACCATCACGGATAATGGCGGTCACGTGACCAAGCACCTCTCCCTCTACAAAGAAGTGCAAATTTTTCCTGCATTGTTCGACCTACATGTAAACAATCTGACGATCTTTGTCTCAATGAGTTGCGATGGCTATTTATGCTAAGAAGTGAGTTTTGCTTAATTTGCACTTTAACAGTTGTTATTTCTTTTTTCTTTCAATTTATTTCCGAGGCTGTAGTGATTATCTTACCTTATGCTGATTTTTTCCCTTTCTGATTATTTAACCATGACCTATAGCAGACGGATCCAAGATCAATGTCCATAAATGCGTTGAAAGTACAATAGACTTTTTTCTTAAGACCAATAAAGCATTATTATGTATTATTATAGTATTAAATCCATTATAGATAGCAGTCCGTTTGACCAAATTACTCAACCAAGGTATTGGTTGAGATAAAAAGATCGAAGTCACGATAGCTAAGTGGTAGATCAGCGGCGTATTTAGCCGAACGTCGTGAGTTCGAATCCCGCCCGTGACACTGACTTTTTTATCTCAACCAATACCTTACATAAAGGTTATTATTATTATTACCTACACTAAATGGCATAAGTTTAGCCTCGTAAATAAATTAGAATTCGGTATATACAATAAAACGTCTGAGGTGTTTTTGTTGGTTTCACTCGTATTTTTCTCACGTATAAAGACACAACATCAAAACATTTTGGCAGCCTGTAAGATAAGTAATTTAGCTTTCCTGCCGATCTTCAACTCTTGAAATTGGATAGAATACAGACGAGTTATGAATTTTTAAGTGGAACTCGGAACATCAGAGAAATAAAAATTTTCAACCACGGTTACTCCATCTCAAAAATGTATGTTTTTGGTTTGCTCTAAGAATTAGTGTTCAAACGCTCTAAGTGTTTAAGCTTAAAACCGATTTTGCTCCCCACAACTAGAATTTTTTACATTTTTGTTTTTGTAACATTTCATATATTCAATCTCATTAAATACGATCCAGCACAGTTTCTTATAACATATCAAAAAATGGATTGATATATAATAATTTTGAAAAAAAAAAAAAAATTCTCGACTCCAAGAGCCCTAGAGACAAGAAACTTTGTGATACGTTTGTATTAATTTTTGACTTAAAATTAATATTTCCAAAATCTTTTCTTTAAAATTGGCATTCTCACGTTCGTAATCTTCTGTAGTCAGCAGACATATGTAACAGATCAGGTTATTTTAGCATAGAAAAATAGACGCATGAACGATTTCCTGGTAACTGACAAATCATAAAAAAGGTCCTTTCAAAAGTCATAAAATACACTATTCAGCCGACACTGAAGAAGTACTTATTTGGAAGAAGCATCTGGAGTCTGAACTAGGTCTCAATTCCGTGAAACTTGTCTCAGTGCAACTTGGCATCTCACACGCGCAAAGCCAAATAAAAAAAGTATGCTAATAATTTTCGACCTAGTATTTCCAAAAATAGTTTTCGCACTCATCGTCGAGTAGGTACAATATTACGAAATAATTGTTTGTTTAAGAGATGGAAGAGTTACAACTCAGGAAATCACATATTTAGTAACTTGAATGCTTTAATATTTGTTCTCTAATTCATGAAGTATAAATGGCTCTCAACTTATCCCGAGATGTTTTGCCAATAAATCAACTTTTAAACTTTCTACATTCGCGAAATGAGTTTTATTTACTTTGATTATTAAATAAACGAACAAATTTGTATGAACGGTCTTAACCCAGAACGGGTTTTGATGCTGGGAACGAATTGCGACAGGATGACAAAATTATTATGACAGATCCAGCCTTTTCAGGTCAATAACCCTGCCAAGTTTGATCAACTTTTCCATAAAAAAATCTAGTTTAAGCCTTGAAGATTAGGGAATATTTATTGTTAACGAAGTTTTTTTTTAATTCAGCCCAAATTATGTCGATGTTTATTGTGTTGTTTAAAAATCTGTTCGGTTTTTATTTTTAAAAAATTAAAAAATGTAGCAAAGGTAGTTTATGTATTATATACAATATAGTTCTGCAGGTTTTCTCAATTTGACCAAAAATAATGTCAATAAATAGATCCCTATCTTGACAAGTCATTAGAGTAGGAGAGGTCCGGTGGGCCAAGTTTCTGAATTATTTACCCCAACAGGTCGATACCAAGGATCCAACCTTGCTTCGCTTTTACTCTCTTATCCATCGAGTTTTATTAAAGCGATAAATATCCCCTACCCAGGATTAAGACTCCCTACGGCCCTTGAGAAAATTTCCCCTTCGCGTGGCTATTCGGTCTGGTCATAACATGTTTATTTTTATCCTCTCATAATAGAAATACCTTAACCTTTTTTATTAGTGTTATTTTTGAATAGGAAGGAAATTAAATTTATAGTCAAATTGAATGTGTTTACGAGGTTTTACAATGGATGAATGCATATCACACACTTATAGTACAAACACACTAGTTACAGCAAAACATTTGGTTAATTGAAAAACTTTCTTTATTTGTGTGAAATTATACTTACGTACAATTAATTAAGGCTTTGGTTGAGACAAAAAGTCAGAGTTACGAGCGGGATTTGAACCCATGGCCTTCGGCTAAATACGCCGTTGCTCTACCACTCGTGCTACTTCGATCCACTCGGAATCTAACTTCCCATCTCAACCCCACCTTTTGAATTTTCCCTCCTTTTTGCCGTTTTTCAACTGTCATGTAATCTATTTGTTTCTCGGCGACAAATGAAATGGCCACTAGTGAATATACTTCATTCTGCTTAATACATCTATTAGGTTTCGTGGTCCGATTGACCAAATAAATTCTTTTCAATTAATTAAGGCTTTGGTTGAGATGGGAGGTTAGTGTCCGAGTGGAACGGCGTATTTAGCCGAATGTCGTGGGTTCGAATCCCGCTCGTGACACTGATTTTTTTATCTCAACCAAAACCTTAATTAATTGAAAAGAATTTATTTGGTCAATCGGACCACGAAATCTAATAGATAGCTTTCATACAATAACCATTGTTCTAGGACAAAAACTATAAAATTTTCAAAAAGATGGTTTTCCTTTTTCTCCATTTTTTCTCTATCCCTGTCGAATTGTTTTATTGCAGATGGAACTTTCAACCCCAATCATGGAATACATATGGATTGTTATCTGTCGTATACAGTGAATTTTAACCCTTGATGGTCTCTGGCCCTTTTTTCACGATACCCTCCCCCCAATACAAATATACATAAATTATTGTCTGGCATGGGTTAATATTGCATAAGGCCTTTATTTAAAATATCCTTGATGGCTGTATTTTTTATTTAGGTTTTTAAATTTTCTAAAATTTACTCTCTTGTTACTACAGGAAACAATATATAGTAAATTACACATAGAACTACAAAGATATTCCGTGTTTTAAGTGTATCTTTTGTAGGACGTAAATTGGACAAAACTTCCAGCCGTATGTATATTCGCCTATAGACCTATCAGTCATCTGCCATTATTTTTAAAAATATATATTTAAATCGCTTAATGCCTATCTTCTTTTCACATAAAATCAATCCTTCTTATCCCTTCAATTAACGTTCTCGTTGTTTTACGATTCGGCGATTTTTCAGATTAGTTGAATAATTTACTTGGTTTTAACAGAAATTACTGCTCGGGTGCGATCTTAGACATTATCCAAGTATTTGTGAAGCGTAAGGCAACCAGTTATGCACAAAAGCCTAGAAAGATCATTTCAAAAGCTTAATAGCTTTATCAAAATTCGTGATTATTTTTTACCATGTTTGTGGGATTGCTAGTGAGTTTGAAATTGCAAAGACTAGTTTATCCAGAAATTGACATCTTAGGTGTACTACTATAAAGGGGTTAGGCCAACTTATTTTACAAACTTTGCCAGTAGATTCTACACTCAAAATGGAACCAAAAAGTCGTAATTAGCTATGGTCGGAATCTCAACAGTTAATGAGTTATTCCTCTTTTTGAGATTTTTAAAGATTTCACGACCTTGCTTCAAATAAAAAATGATAACTGCATATAACAATTTTCAAAATGGAGCGCGAGTGCGCAAGAATTCGCTTGATGCGCGGCGGCTCCGGCAGACGAGGAACGCGTGGCGTCCTGAGTGGTTTCTTTTCTCTTTTGCGGTTTTGCGCTCTCGCCTTTTTTCCCCGGGGACGACAAGAGATATATTTTTGGATTCAACGGCCTTTTTTTGGACAGAGTAGATTTTTTCTGGCACATCGGACTGGGCAAACGTCTTCGATTGACTTCGACATCTATTTACCTTCGACATTTCATCGAGCTGCACTGGCAGGGTATCACTTGTCCCAAG